GTAAACAAAGGGCAGATGAAGAGCTGGTCCCTTCCTCCACAGAAACAGGGCCAGGGAGAGGCCAGTCTCCCACCAGCATCAAGATCCCCAAACCCGAGCAGGGACTGCTCAAACTCAGAATCTACCACACAATTCTTGGGCCTTGTGGCCTAATCTGCTCTGGATTGCCATAGACATGCAAATCCAAACACACTCTTTACTCTGCTTTTTGAAAGCTTTATTTTCAGATTTTCTTTTAATTCTGTAGACATTTTTCGTTTAGAAGAATGAAAATTACTAAAAAAAAAAAAAAAAAATTCCCATAGGTGGCATTCATGCAGAGGCCTTCGCTGGCATTGCAAGTAAGTCCCTCCTTCACTGCCACTAAACAGAAGCCAACACTAAATGCCTTCTATACTTGAAAAATCCATCAAAGGTTTTGCTGAATGATATTTATAAGGGCCTTACTGTTCTCTTTCAAAAACTGAAATGCCCTTCTCCGACACTTGAAAAAACTTGCTCATGCTTTTCATCTTTCCCTCTCAGAGTGTAAACATTGTTTTGAGTGAAAAGAGCTGAAGGAGCGCTTACTTTCCCTTGAAATTTTATTTTTAAATAAGAGAGGGAGAAAATCCTTTTTCTGACTAATACTAATAATACAGGTCAAAGTGTCAGGCTATATACAATTAAATGGAAAACAAAAAAGGTTCCCCTTCTTTTTCCCACAGTACAATGACACTGGAATATAAATTGCCCATGAAGATGAAATAATACTTCAAAGCCTGTAGGGTAGGGCAGTGTGGTGTTTACAGAGTATTTTCTGGTACGATGAGACATTAAAGATGATGGTAACCCATGGACTTGAGGGTGCTGGTGAATAGACTGAAACTAGCATGAGGTAAGGTTTTAGGTCCCTGTAGCCTGTGACCCTGTGATATGCTTTGTTTTACAAGGGCAGCTGCAGTTATCAACAGATGTTTCAGCAATAAATAATTGGTATCATCTCGGAAAAGACCCATCTACCTGGGGAGAGGGCATAATACCAAAAACACTGCCCAGCTATTACAGCCACATTAATCTCCCATCTCTCCAGGTTTCTCGGGGAGCATTCTGCAGGTGTTTTTTCTGGGAGAGCGCGGACAAACTCTCTCAAGTCAGCAAGCTTTGTGTGGAGTGTAAAGGAGGTTGGCCCCTGCCATAAATTTCTGTCTGTGGCCACACACCAAAGGAAAAAAGATTGGAGAGTGGGGGAGGAAGACTGGGGAGGAGTGCAGCGGGAGGAAATGGGGGAGGCAAGGGAGACCAGAAAGCAAAGCACAAGACACACATGATTGTTCTTGAGTAAGTTCAGCCTAAGAGAGTAATATTGTAAAGGACCCTTAATTTTACCATATAAAAACAGTTGTTGACGACTTTTCTTTTTTTCTCAGGCATTCTGTGCTCAAACCTTGTTCCATTAATTATGAAATTCACTTGTAGAATAAATGTTTATACTCTAAGTGTAATGCTAATTTTAAAAATGGAGGGGAAACTTTTTATGGGATAAAAAAAGTCACAGAAAGTTTAAGTTTATGTACAAACTGTACATTATGTAAGAAAATGCAATAAAAATGAAAATAAAAACTCAGTCACCTTTACCTATGTTTTATGTGAAAACAGAATCTCACAAGTAATCAGGTCTTAAAGTGTGACCATCCAGTTTCGGTAAACTCTTATATAGAAATTGATGGCATAATGAGACAAAAAAAAAAATTATGGAATTGACTCAAGCTACTTTTAACAAGCTAAGATATTAAAAGTAGGGAGAGTCCCGGAGAGCCTGGTTCACAGGGTGCTATAGTTCTCCGTATTTACAAAACAGAATGGTTTAGCAATTGTGCACTTGGAGTCTGGCACAATAAGAGAGCATCCTAAAAGTCATTAGGAGGTGTGGTTACTTAATTTATAGCTTGCTGGGGAAGTTAAGAAAATGATGCTCAGAGTTCAAAAAGCTCCCAGATTAAATACATTAGGGACTAAAGAAGGCCTAATGGACTGCTTCTTAGAGCTGTACTGAGTGACTTTGTGACCTGGGCACAAACTTCTTAAATTTTCTATGTGTTTATTTCCCCAACTGTGAAATTTGTGTATTATATAGAGGCCTAATGGGAGGAATAGTGGGCAGATTCTTAAAACAGAATAACAACCATAAATAGCTTGTCTCCCAACTCACATTAACTCCCCAATACAGCGAGACTTGAATTTTTAAAAACACTGTCTTCAATTTTTTAGATGATGTCACTACCAGTTTTGAAAGCAGAAAGGGGCATCTGATGATTGCAGGATAGAACGAGAGGAGTAAAACTCTGGTTATAGAGACTGCATCTCAGGCCCTCAGCCTGTGTTCAAAAGCAGAGAAACTTGCTAAGCCCAAAGGTCAAAGCCAGGGGTCACTCTCTCTGTGAGGCTATGCTGTTCTCAGCCACCTTGGAAGGCTTGTAAAATTCTAATACTCCACAAGCCTAATCACACAAGGACTCTCCAAGCAAGCGAAGCAAATATCGGCTCTTCCAGAATGACTCCAGTTTCCAGAATTGATGGAAAAGAGATTTCTTTTCCGCTTGGTCTCCTACCACTTTCACACTGGATTCTTTTTTATTCCTTGTCTTACCCTTTCTCCACTCACATTCCCATTCAGGCTTTCTGCCTTTCCCCATCACTTGCCTATTTTGCTCTTTAGAGCCGTGGGTCTCAGGCTTCAGTATGTATCAGAATCCTCTGAAGAACTTGTCTAATGCTGATTGCTGGACACCCATCCCCATGGTTTTTTATTTGGTAAGGGTTTTTGATTGCGAATTTGAATTTAAATTTCCAACCAGTTTCCAAATGATGCTAATGCTGTTGTCAGGAGCTCTCACATTAATAACCACTGCTTTTTTTTCCATTGTATATTTTTATTTTTAAAATTTATTTTAGATTTGTGGGGCACATGTGAGGATTTGCTACATAAGTAATTGCATGAAGGCGAGGTTTGGCCTTCCAACAAGCTCTCTCTCCCCCAGTAGTGGGCATGGTACACAATGGGTGTAACCACTGCTTCAGAGCTGTACTGTCCAATAAAATGGTGGCCCTGACCACATGTGACTATTTACACAGACATTAATAAGAAGTAAGTAAAACTGAAAATTTAGTTCAGTCACATTGTAAGTGCACAAGAGTCATCTGTGGCTAGTGGCTGCCATATTGGACAGCACAAAAGTAGAACATTTTCATCACTGCAGAAGGTTCTAGCATAAACAAGTTTTAGCATAAACAAGTCTCAGGGTTTCTACCTGTGCTGTCAAGTTCTTCACTTGAGGCTTCATGTTGGAGAATTGGAGACGGACAGAGGAGAAGGCTATAAGTCACAGCTCTACCACTTACTGTTCTCTTCCCCTGGACAAGTTAATCTCTCTGAATCTAAATTTCTTCATTTGTAAAATAAGGATAACAATGGCAACACATATGGTTCCCAACTTAAAATAATGTGACTTAACGATTTTTTTGACTTTGCAATAATGCAAAGGCAATATACATTTAGTAGAATACAACCACTCTATTTTCACTTTCAGTAGAGTATTCAATAAATTACATGAGATATTCAATACTTTACTATAAAGTAGGTTTTGTGTGAGATGGCTTCACCCACCTGTACAACAATGTAAGTGTCCTGAGCTAGTTTAAGTTAGGCTAGACTAAGCTATGATGCTCAGTAGGTTATGTGTATTTAATGCATTTTTGACATATGATATTTTCAACTTAAAGTTGGTTTTTTTGGGAGGCAACCCCATGGTAAGTCAAGGAGCAGCTTAATCACTGTAGGACTCTTTTGAGAATTAAATGAGATAATGTATACACAAGTACTTTGTAAACTCTACAGTGATACACAAATTATAGCTATTATTTAATTCTACTTCTTCACTAATACAGACTACATTTATTTCAAACCCCTGGCACACCAATGAGTGTTTTCACTTTCTTTTTCGTCCATAATCCCCAATCCGCTTATCTGTTTTGTCCGTCTTTTTGGAAAATGAGAAAGGAAGGGTTTTACTGTTTTTGTTAAGTCTAAAGATGCTGTCGTGGATCTGTAGATCAGAGAATCTTCCCTAGATTTTTGCTTTAATATGCAAAAACAATGTCTATATATTTATTTTGGGTGGCCCCAAAATACAATCTCATGTAAACCAACAGAGTCAAAATTGTTTAAGTTATTGTCATTGTTTCTAATGCCTGAACTACAGACAATATATTTTTCATGTAAGAAAAAACTTATATAAGCTAGTAGATTTTCTCTCTTAACAATCATCTGAAAGAATGTGGGTAAAAAGCAATGCTGCCAAAAAGAACAATGGTACTTGTGATATCCCTAGAACCTAAGCCTGTATCCTGAGTTCTAATTTAAGCTTCTGTGCTATTTTTGAGGCTGTCTCCTCTCTGGGGTAGAAGCACCAGTTTAATTAATTTCCGGTAAATGAGTTGAGAAATAAGCACGCCAACGACTTTGACATGATGCTTCCTAAACAACCTTAATCATAAGGAGATCCAAAAGTGATCAGGAACCCAGGGGGGCCCAGGAAAGGGACATGCCAGACTTCAATAGCTTAGGCAGCAAGTCACATTAATGAAACAATGGTGAGTTTATTTTTTAAGCTACCCAACTTTTAGAAGGCAGCATTTAAAATAAAAATGCCATGAGGCATGGTGGTATCAAAATTACTTCTCTGGCTACAGAGGATACAGAAATATTTCAGGATGACAGTGCTCATGTTAGACCCACTGACCACCCTTCTTCACTTTTACTAGATTTGGCTTTCCAACAAAAGTTCTTATGAGCAAGCAATACTTTTCAAACAACTATTGCCCCTACATTAGTCAATCTGGCAGAGCTGGCCATAAGGGTAGGGGGACTGTCTTGTGCTTCAAAGAAATTTAATCTATTACACCACTTAGAGTCTAAATGCCTCATTGGGGATGTCAGAAGAACAGGTGGCTCTTCCTACCAGTAACTGCTGCAACCCGGCGCCAATCACATCCTGCAGGTTTGTTTTGTCTTCTGGGCCCACGGCTTGTTTGTACTGCCACTTTTCAGGCACGAAGGGCCACTTCATTTCCTTTGCCTCCTGGATCAGGGTCCTTAACTCGCTGGGGAGTGAAGCTGAAAAGGTCAGAGTTCAGGTAAGGAAATTGCAGTCAAAGAAAAGGCTGTTGAGCTACCAATGTTATGATGAAGTACCTCAGTGGCAAAAAACAAAAAACAAAAAACCCTTCTGCCTACCTCTTGTTGGCTGGTCTAAGCTGTTGGTTTTGACTCAAAGAATAACAGTGAGGAGCTATCTGTCAGGGGTGGCCTTGGTCTACTTTGCCCTACAGGTAAATTGGGGTAGTCAGGCATTAAGAAAGGTTTTTAGCAGGAAGTAAAGCACTTTGGTGACCATCTCTGCATGAAGAATCAGAGAAAGGAATGAAGGAAATATTATTTTCCCTGTAAAGTGAGAAAGGGTTGGAATGGAATGGCATTTGTGGCAGCTGGATAATGAAGAGTCCATTTGTACAATCTCTCTTTGCTTCTCTAAGACTTCACTGTATCTCATCCTTTCACTATGGGTTATGTTTGAATATAGACAATAAATGCAGGAGCACAACTGAGATTTGAAATGGTGTCAACTAATTGTGAAAGGGCCCTCTTTCATAATAGTAACTATGTTAAATCTCCTGAGTATACTGGTCCACAATCTACCACACAAACGTCAGAAACCCCCAAAGCTCTGGAAACCAGAATTTTTTTTCTTAAGTTTGGCACCCAGAACAGACTTGCATTGACTATGGGTTATTTACAATACCATTTAAGGACTTAGTGAGGTTATTCAAAAGGTATGCTGTAAAACATTTTAACATTTAAATAGTTCTGTCCCACCTTCTGTTGGAGTATGAATGTAACGTATAGCATAAGCACCATAAGACCCTCCAAATGTTGGAGAAGTTCTGAATTCTGAAGTACGTGTGACCCCAGAATTCTGAATGCAGGATTGCGAATCTGCAGGCATGACTACCAGCTATAAATCTTTAGTTGCTTGTCTTGTGGGCACCGCATACTCAAGACATCCAAAACTGAACTCAGCCCCTTTTTCTAAATTTGATTTTTCTTCTATTTTCTGTGTAGGTGAATGGTACCACGATTCACTGAATTACCTAAATCTGAAACCCAGGAGTCAGTCTAGACTTGTTTCCTCTCTCTCCTTCCTCCAACCTAATTGTCTATCAAATCCATTGGCTCCTAAAATCCACTTCCTTCCCTTCCTTGTTGGTAATTCTTGCCTGAATTACTGCTTTCAGTCTTGTCCATCCACTCCATCTTCCACAATGCTAATCTTCTCTTTGCTAAAAGCAAGATGAACCAGGCCAATTGTCCTACTTAAAATTCTGTCATGGTTTTGTACATCCTGTCCTGGCTGTCTGGATTGCACTTCCCCAATGCTGTTGTGATCAAACTCAGGCCTACTGACTTCAGAGTTCAATGCAAACATTGCCACTTCTTGTTAGCCTGCCATGACCTCACAGTGGAGTTGAGATGCTCCTTCTAAGGTAAGAGCATGCTCTTTTCATCCTTCTTCCCATGGCTCTGTAATGACATCTGTCACTCTCAGTGAATTGTGAGCTTCCTGAATACAAGCATCATATCCCATCACCTTTATAAATCACACCATGATGGGTGAATGATCATTTTATGTCTATGTGAGACATACTAAATAGAGCAAAAGAGTTATGACAGAAATGAAAAAACAAAAAGAAGAGAAGAAGGAAAGTCTAATTCTGCCTTGGTCTGCAGTGACTTTTTATAAAATTGTCATCAACTGGGCAAATGTAAGGAAGTTTCCTGGTGGGGAAAGACTGCTTGGCATTGAGGGGATTCCCACGGGCCACACCAATGAATGATCCACATTGATTACTAAGGATGACTTACAAGTATCACACTGAAAGTATCACCCCACGCCCATTCCAGAACTACCGAGCACCTACTATGTGGCAGCACTCCCTCCAAGAAAGCAGTCACAGTGTTCAGGACCTACATGGCCATATTCTGCTGAAAAAGCTGACACTCTTACCACCACTGATATAATTTCAATTTCTGAAAGTATTTCTAATATGAGTGGAGAAAACTTCTCCAAGGACATTTTTAAACAGTCATGAATAGGATAACCATTCACTCCTGTTTGCTTAGGACAATCCTACGTGGTCCTAGTGTATTTATGAACAGTGCTCTTGTTCACTCTCAGAGGTGTTCCAGTTTGACTAATAAATTATTTGAACACACTCTATGAATAAACACAAGTAGTCAAATGACAACAGAAATGTGACTTCCGAATTCACAGTGTTGTCATATTTTGAACTGAATAGCGTGAATGTGTTCAAGTCTCTGCATAGTAACAGAAAAAGTCTCTTCTTTACAACTCATTATTGCCTCCTCCACACCACCCTTTTCCCATAGGCCCATCAGAATGTCCCGTGGAACATAGGGAGATAAAAAGTGCTCCTGAAACACATTTTAAAAATGTACTTCTATTTGGATTTCACTTCCTTCTCCATCTCTGGGGAAATTGCTAGAAGTGGTCACCCATGCTGACAAAGACAATTTCTGAGAGACAAGGATGAAGTTGAGAGGAGGAGGGAAAAGAATAGAACCACAGTGTTTGTGTTCCGGAGTTAGCCAGCTCGGCCTGCCGCCATAAGTGACCCTGTACTAATGCCTTTCTCTCGGAGCACATGTGGTGACGACATCGGTGGCAGCACGACCTGCCTGCTAGAGCTGCTCAGAAACCACCTGCCTAGCGAAGGGCTCTGGTTCAGGCCGCATCCAGTCAGCCTGCTCATGGCGCTCAGGTGGACCATGTGGCACTGCTGTTGGGATGGGTCAACACTGTGACTGTCGTTGGCTCTGCGTAGGAGGCAGAGGGTTTACCAGATTCAGCTAAGCCGGGTAGTCAGCCCCACACCCAGCAGTAGCCTCCACCGCCTCTCTGATCACTTACTTCTCCAAGCAGCTTACCTGAAGGGCCATGTCTAATTTAATGATTTTACAGCCATGATTTGCCTTATCTGGAACTAAACTGATTATTTCTCCTATTCTGTGGCACTTGGGAAGAAAAAGAAGAAAAAAATGTAACTCGAGTGGGCTCAGCATCTTCACTGGGGAGAATACAAAGCTTAAAGGAATTTGGGCTGAGGCGACAAAGGGCCTGATGTAGTAAAAGGACGAGAAAGAAAAACTTCAGTGGAAACAGCAGAATACAACACACTGCCCCTGGGGAGAGCAGAGACCAGCAATAGAGCATATTCTGTAGGTGCCAAGTACCTGCCATCCCCTGATAAGGGCTGACATGATGAGTGTGATCTCAGGCTGACAGGCACACGTAACTGGCAAGCAAAGTCACACCTTGATGTAACACACCAACTAAGTCTGTGAGATGACTGGACGTAGGGAGTTTTATCTTGAAAAGAGCACAGATGACAAGTTACAAATGATTAAGACCTCCATAGTGCCCCTGTAAATATGTATGTACCTATATATCAGGACTCAGAGAAGACTCTCCCAGAACCTTTCCCCATTACATAATGAGCTACAACAACAATACAAATGGGGAGTGTGTGTTTTATTTGGGAATCTTATTTATGTAAGGGATAGCAAAGCACTAAGAATACAGAGAAAAAATATTAAAAGCATGCAAAAGGGACATACTTTATAGAAATGGAGGAAAATGTATTGATTGTTTAAAAGAAATCTAAAAGATTGCCTCTCGAAAGTTGGCTAAAAAAGAAATAAGTACTGCTTTACCTTTCTAAGCTTTGTGATGGAAACTTCCCAAACAATGACTTATCTAAAACTATGAGTGGCACAAACTATGAAATGAGAAAAAGCCAGATTCTTAAACCCTGATAATGATGGAATCAGTATTCTTGGGACGAATGAACTTATTTTGCAAATGGCATGAGAATATAGTATGAGGGATGTACTGGTGATCAAAAAAGCAAGATTGGACTGGTGAGATGACATATTTATGGAAACCCTAGAAGTCTATGGAAACTGATGAAGCACAAAATCCTAGTTTGAAAAAAAAGTATGCGCCACCATTCAGAAGTTGCTTCAATTTTTTAATAATTGAAATTTACGTGCACCAGCCAACTTGGACCCTTTGTTCTTCTTGAACTAAACTGTTTCTTGTAGCCTCATGTTTACTGGAGCCTAAAATTAGAACTGACAGTAATTCACTGCAACAAAGTGGGCTTCCTCCCCTGCCCGTCCGCCTGCAGCCCATGTCCCATTCATGCCCTAGAAATCCACTCATCTCTCGGTGGTCATCTGCCAAGGGAAGAAAAATAGGGCAGAGATGAGAACGTGTCGTTCAGGCAGGGGAGAGGAGGATGAACCTGCTAGATCGCCCCTGGTGCCTCCCATCAGAACCTCACCTCTGCTCCTCTGGTCTCCGCTCTTGTCCTCTTCCGACACATCTGGCCTCTCCAACAAGAGCTGGTCCAGCGCTTGCTTGCACTCTTGCAGTAGCACGGCCACAGCTTTTTGATTATTCATGATGATTATCCTCCCTCAACGATGAATCGGGTGTCCCTGGGTCTATGGTGATCAATTACCTAGGAGAAGACATCGATTCTCAATAAAGAAGCCTTTTGAAGGCCGAGATACCTGGTGAACAAAGGAGGGGAAAGATGATTAACTGAAGCACCATCAATTATCTGTAAGACTCAAGCAGGGAGGGATAATAGGGCAAACACATGAAAATACATGACAGCCCCTGAGGACTTTATTAGAGGAGTGTGTGAAATGACTACAGGGCTTGCTCTAGCCGGTCAGCACCTCGAAGGCATCAGAGTGCAGAAAGGAGAGGGTCCTGTGCAGACACTGGCTACCCACAGTGATGTCAGCAGAGTCACATGGGACCAAAGGAAATGAATATATCCCATGATTTATGTATCTCCTGCATGCTTCACATCAGTGCCTCTGGCTTCCAGTGGCACCACACTCTCTGCCTCCGTGGAAGACCACAGGAAGCATCTGGCTAACAGTTCTAATATTCAGACACAAGCACACAGTAATATGAAGTTTATCACTCATAACCCACTGCTGATTTCCCCTGTGCAGTATTCTTCATGGTATTTAGCATGATATCATTTGGACCAAGATAGGCAGTGACAGATGCCAAATTTAAAGCTCTTCACTGCCAGGCACACTGCCAAGAAGAATAGAAGAGTGATATCCCAGAAAACCCAGTTTCCTAGATTCTAGCATATGGATGGATCCACTTATATTATCATTTAACATATATACAGTTGAGATATCTCTTATGTAAATATGAGTATGATGTCATGAGTTACTGCAGTCAAGACAATTTCAAGAATGAAATAATGCTAACAACACAAAAATGACTGACAAATAAATAGAACAAAGTTATTCAATTAATACATCTTTATTTATTTATTTTCTTGGAGTCAAGGTCTCCCTTGATCACCCAGTCTGGAGTGCAGAGGCATGATCACAGCTCCCTGAACCTTTGACCTCCTGAGCACAAGTGATCCTTCCACCTTAGCTTCCTGAGTAGTGGGACTATAGGTGCATGCCACAACACCTGGCTAATTTTTTTGATTATTTTATTCTATTTTATTTTGTAGAGACAAGGTCTCACTATGTTACCCAGACTGGTCCTGAATTCCTGGGCTCAAACAATCCTCTTGCTTCAGTCTCCCAAAGTGCTGGAATTATAGGTGTGAGTCACTGGATCTGGCCAATATTTTTGTTTGTTTCTTTGGTTTTTATTTTTGTTTGTGTCCAGCTAATTAACAAATCTTTATGTCTCTTCTCCTTTTATTCAAATAGTACATTGTTAACAAAAGAAAGGACATTATTCTCTTTCTGACTTTGCCTGAATGGATAATGGAGCTGCTGTCTGACTTAGACACTTCATAAGGGCACATAGAATGTTTTTGCCAAAGAAAGCGAGTTCAAAAGAAAAGAAAGTAACAGCTACATGGATGGCTGTAGTTCTTCTGTCTCTGAGCTTATCCATGCAACGAAGTAATCATTGAGACTATTAAAGCAATAAATTATTGTGTTGGTGCTGGGGTTAAGTGTTCTCTACTATATAACAGCCTTACTTTAAGAAGTTGGTTCTGAATTTGAAATAGCAAGAAATCCTTTCTTTTTATCTTTTTCTATTCTATGAATTAGCAGGAACAGAAAATGAAAGATGGGCTAACTAGAAATAAAAATTTTGTGGTTTTCATATTAATTTGGCAGGTATACTCCATAAGTTTTGGTTTTAACACACACACACACACACACACACACACACACACACACAACATAGCTAGAACTTCCAAAGTAAAACTTGAGGATACTACAGGCATGCTTTATTAAAAATAATAATGTATCTGTTGATGAAGAAACACAAGCAGAATTCTTGAATATAAAATTCTTGTTGAAAGGAATTGAAAGGCCATTCATTATCTTTATGGTAGAATGACTTGAGTTCCTCCGGGTATATTCCCAGTAGGGGGGGGGATTACCTGCACACGCATGTTTGTTGCACCTCTATCCACAATAGCAAAAAACATGGAACCAACTATACTGCCCATTGAAGCTGGACTGGATAAAGAAAATGTGGTACATATATACAATGGAATATTACTCAGTCATAACGAAAGACAAACATATGGACTTTGCAGCAACTTGGATGGATTTAGAGTTTATCATTCTCAGTGATTTATCACAGAAACAAAGAACAGAGTACCATATGTTCTCACTCATAAGCAGACTTTGAACAATTATCATAATACTGTAAGAAAGGGATTGGCAGTAGCTGGAAATTGCCCGGGGTGAGGGGGCGCATGGGTGGGATTGGCAATTGAGTGAAACAGCCACAGGAGGGAGGGGCACACCTCATAATGACCATTTGTACACCTAACCTGAATTGTACCCCACATCTTTAAAATAAAAAAAAGGGTATTCACTTAAATGAGGTGGTGATTGGCAATTGAGTGAAACAGCCACAGGAGGGAGGGGCACACCTCATAATGACCATTTGTACACCTAACCTGAATTGTACCCCACATCTTTAAAATAAAAAAAAGGGTATTCACTTAAATGAGGTGGTGAGGAATTAGTCACTGGAAGCAAGTCTATCAATGCCATTTTTCCAACAACATGTGTCCACTTCATGTCTCTGTCATATTTAGGCAATTTTCTCAATATTTCAAACTTTTTGCTATTATGATATCAGTTATGGTGATCTGTGATCAGTGAGTTTTGATACTGCTATTTGTTTGGGGGCATCACATGCCCATATAAGATGGCAAAAGTTGTCAGTAAATGTTACATGTGCTCTGACTACTCCACTCACCAATCGTTCCCCCATCTCTATCCCTCTTCTTGTTTCTCCCTGTTGCCAGGAAGGTGTGATATTCCAGAGATACAACGATATTGAAATTAGGCCAGTTAATAACCCTACACTTGTCTCTAAGTGTTCAAGTGAAAGGAAGAGTCGCATCTCTCTCACTTTAAGTCAAAAGCTAGAGATGATTAAGCTTAGTGAGAAAGGCATGTCAAAAGAGGAGAGAGGCCCAAAACTGGGCCTCTTGCATCAGTTAGCCAAGTTGTGAACACAAAGGAAAAGTAGTTGAAGGAATTTAAAAGTGCTACTCTAGTGAAACACGAATGATAAGAGAGTGAAACAGGCTTATTGTTGATATGGAGAAAGTCTAAGTGTTCTGAATAGAAGATCAAACCAGTCTTAGCATTCCCTTAAGCCAGAGCCTAATGCAAAGCAAGGCCCTAACTTTCTTCAATTCTATGAAGGCTGAGAGAGGTGAGGAAGCAGCAAAAAAGTTTGAAGTTAGCAAAGGTTGGTTTATGTGGTTTAAGAAGCCGTCTCCATAACACTGAAGTGCAAGATGAAGCAGCAAGTACTGATGGAAAGCCGCAGAAAGTTAAACAGAAGATCTGGCTATGATCATTGATGACGGTGGCTACACTAACCAACAGGTTTTTAATGTAGATGAAACAGCAGATTTCTGTTTTTTAAATTTTTAATTTTAAAGATGTGGGGTACAGTTCAGGGTTAGGTATGCAAATGTTCATTATGCAAGTACCCTTGTTGATAAGGTGTGCCCATCCACGTTGCTGTGAAGTTCTTTATGGCTGCATAATATTACATTGTGTATTGTAACACATTTTTAAAAATCCAGTCCTCTTCGATGAACAGCATGATTGGTTCCATGTTTTTGCTATTGTGAATAATGCTGCAATGAACATGAGTGTGCAGGTATCTTTTTCACGGAGTGATTTGAGTTCCTCCGGGTGTATGCCTAGCAGGGGAATTGCGGGGTTATATAGAAGGTCAATTTTTAAAACTTTTAGGAATTGCCACACTGTTTTCCACAGAGGTTGTACTAGTTTACACTCCCACCAACAGCGTATTCCCTTTTCCCGGCATTCTCTCCAGCATCTGTTATTTTTTGAGTTATTGATGATGGCCATCCTGACTGGAGTTAGGTGGTATCTCAGTGTGGTTTTAATTTGCATTTCTTTGATGACTAGTGAGGTTGAGCATTTTTTCATGTATCTGTTGGCTGCTCGTATGTCTTCTTTTGAGAAGTGTCTATTCATATATTTTGCCCACTTTGTAATGGGGCTGAAACAACAGATTTCTAACAGAAGAAGATGTCATCTAGGACTTTCATAGCTAGAGAGGAGAAGTCGATGTCTCGTTTCAAACCTTCAAAGGACAGGCTGACTCTCTTGTTAGGGACTCATGCAGTTGGTGACTTAAAGTTGAAGCCAATGCTCATTCTTCATTTCAAAAATCATAGGGCCCTTAAAAATAATGCTCAATCAACTCTGCCTGTGCTCTATCAATGGAACAACAAAGCCTGAACAACAACACACCTGTTTACAGCATGGCTTACTGAATATTGTAAGCTCACTATTGAGTCCACTGCTCAGAAAAAAAAGATTATTTTTGAAATATTACTGCTCTTGTCACTCAAGAGTTCTGATGGTGATAATGGAGCTGTGATGGAGATGGCCAAGGACTCTGAGGAGATTAATGTTTTCATGCCTGCTAACACAACATCTATTCTGCAGTCCATGGATCTAGGAATAAGTTTACCTTCAAGTCTCATTTAGAAATACATTTCATAAAAAAAAGAAAAGAAAAGAAAAGAAATACATTTCATAAGGCTACAGCTACCATAGGTAGTGATTCATCTAATGGATCTAGGCAAAGTAAATTGAAAACCTCCTGGAAATAATTCACCATTCTAGATGTCATTATTTAGAGGCGATCAAAACATTAACATTAAAGAAGTTTAGAAGAAGTTGATTCCAACCTTCATGGATGACTTTGAATTCATCAAGACTTCAAGACTTCAGTAGAGGAAGTAACAAAAGAGGTAGTGGAAATAGCAAAGAACAACAACAACAAAAACTAAAATTAGACGTGAAGCCTGAAGATGTGACTGAATTGCTGAAATCTTATGATGAATCTTGAATGGATGAGGAGTTGCTTCTTATAAGTGAACAAAGAAAAGTACTTTCTTGACATGGAATCTATTTCTGATAAAAAGATGCTGTGGACATTGTTGAAAGGACAACAAAGGATTTAGAATATTACATAAACTTAGTTGATAGAGC